CTATCAACACTGCCGTACCCGCTGCTTACTTGGACTCGAATTCAACCCTGGCCATCAGGCGCAAGCTCGGTGGTCTAGAGGTATGATGCCAGGCTAGTGATCTGAAGATCGTGGGTTCGAGTCCCACCTGACAACAACTTTTTTCGCAATTGTTTTCAAAAATACTGAGTATTCAGTACATTTCACACCTATACATAGAAAAAGCAAATGATTTTTTACCAAACTTTAATCAATCGAAACTTTTCTAATAGGGCGGAGGTATGCACTGTATGTAGATTGGCGCTCTAATTATCAATATAATTATTAGCATTACTAAAGGTAATAGTAAAATAAAAGTGGCTAATAATATACTATAGGATATCAGTTTTAAATTATTATGTAAATTTCTATTGATGTAAAGAAGAAGTCGTCTGACCTCTCGCTTCATCAATATTTTAAGAGATTACCCGGAGCCTTATAAAACAAGCACTTTAATCACTCGTATAGTAAAATAAAAGTGGCTAATAATATACTATAGGATATCAGTTTTAAAGTATTATGTAAATTTCTATTAATGTACAGAAGAAGTCGTCTGACCTTACTCGCTTCATCAATATTTTAAGAGATGACCCGGAGCCTTATAAAACAAGCACTTTAATCACTCGTGCACAGAGACAGGTCAACATACGGATTATCTGTGAAGTCAAAGGTGTCGGAATTGCCAATGTGTTTTTCAATCCCGACACATCGGTAGAATCAAGTACGTTCAAAGCTACAACTACATTAGAAGCCAACCTCGAGCTGTACGAAGACAAGAGTTACAGTACATTGGTTCCATACGGCACTGCAAAGGGAGTCAAGTTCCCGGAACGGCTGTTCTTCACGGCAAGAGCACAGGATAGCAGTAAGGAGGTCGCCATCGAAAGTTGCAGAGCAACGGCAAAGTATAAGACGTGTTCCAAATTTGACAAGAAGTATGAATTCATCAGCAACGGGTAAGAAAAGTGTGAACATCACCTTTGGGTATGTCAATTGTATTCATTTATTTTAATAAGTAAAATAGACGGGACAAAAAAAGATAACCATCAAACTGGATAGAGATGTCATAAATAGGTTAGCCTCCAACAAATTGTTGATATTAGTTAATCACATCAAATATAAACGCATAGGCTGCCCCTAAAAGATTATACCGTACAGTAGCATTTAGTACTGTACATATAATATTTATATAACATAATTACTGACTGGTACATTCAAATTACCTTTATCTTAAAACGTGAGTATATACACTTAAATGCTAATTACAATAGGTTCATTATACACCTAGATTTGAAAATTGGTGAAACTATTTACATAATACAAGTATTCTGGGCGCACACGCTAAAAACCCGACCAATCGGAAGGGTTACCACCCAGAAAATGAGTGCAGAGGGAATGGAGCGATGTTCGACAGACCCGCCCTCTAGAAGATGTGTGACGCAAGCATAATACATTACAAGTATTCTGGGTGCACACGCTAAAAACCCGACCAATCGGAAGGTTTACCACCCAGAAAATGAGTCCAGAGGGAATGGAGCGATGTTCGACAGACCCGCCCTCTAGAAGATGTGTGACGCAAGCATAATGCTCGATTCGGTTGAAAGCTTAATAGCAGATAAATTCCATCGGCCCAACTGCTGTAAATTGTTTCTGATAGCCCAGAGAGGCCGTCCTTGAACCATTTTAAATAATTATCGTCACACGTCCGACTGATGCTGCTGAATCGAAGTAAGTGGAAGTGATAAAAAATGAAACAAATGAAACCAGGTATTTTGAAGAATTAAAGCCTTCCCAATAAACCATTCCAGGAAATAGAGCCACCTACGTAGATCATATTTAACATCGAGTGTTAAACGAATGAAACGCGAAAGGTCGTTTGCCCAAGATAAAGGGGAATAATTAAGCAGTGAAGGAAAACACGACCCAGCAATACAACAATGCATGCATAATTCATGACGGTGTCACCTTTTTATGCGATAAGAAGTCATTTATTTTAGTTTTAGTCTTTCCAATTTGCCATTGGAAGACGGCATTCCATTGCCACGGAATCCACTCCACCTTAAAGTGGTAGTGGGTAAAAGAGTTTTATATTCTATGCCAGAAAAAGTGCAGAGAGTAAGGAGCTATGCTCGACAACCCTGCTGTGTGACGCGAGCAAATGCTCAAACGCCACAGTAAAACTTGATTATAAATTAATTTAAAGGGAACAAAAGAAAACGTCAATTAGCTTCCATAATCTAACCAAAGAAGAGCTAAAGGATTCATAAACACATTACACAAACGGCTTGCGTCACGATAGACAGCGGTCCTAGGAGTATGAAAACAGGTTGTAAGCGTTTAGGTGGATAGGGATGATCGTAGAAGCATTCGCGATATCCGACTCAGACATCAGAAAACTAATAATTAATTATTATTATTATTGATTATTTATATTTTTTATGTTTATTATGTTTATGTTTATTGTTTGTTTATGTTTTTTATTATCAATTATTTATATATTTATTTCACCAAAATAATGACTTAGTTGATCATGTCGGAAATGACAAGCAACATTTCATCTGTGATACCAGAATTAACTGAGGGCTGCGAGGATAGGACCGACAGCTGAATTATAAGGATGTTACCAACTCTGATTTTTGGGGAACTCCTACGGGTGACGCAATGAAGTTGTCTGATGGAGGAAAATCGAATGTACCCACCAACCTACCTAAATTTAAACCTGTTGATATAAAATCTTTACCTACTCCGGATGTTCCAAAGCACTAGGGCGGTTGCGGGAAAATACCCGAGGCATGGGATCCATAAACGGAATCCGTTGTTGTAGCCTAACAGAAAATGCTCAAGCTCAACAACTTATACCACCTTTGGTAGGGACATTTGGTCTGGTGTTGACTCAGCGTACCAGCTGCCCCTAGGCTGTGAAGCATTCCCTTGTACATAATGTCTTAGGATGGTGAAGCCAGTCCGTGCAGATGTATGCGTAAATACAGCTTGAGGCCTGAGAAGGTTTGCAAGAATTGAATTCAAAACAAACCTTCTGCTGCAAATGACTCCGGACCAACGATATCCCGTAAAAGATATCGTAGTATCCAAAGGGGCTATCTTCCGCAACATTTTGGAATGTAAAACCTTCATTTTAGGGTCCATTATGCCCAGTCCTTCATCTTAGGCCCGTCAATAAACATTACCGAACGCATTTAAATCCAGTATATTATGTGTATATATAAGAACATATGGTGCGTTAAAAGAAGTTCCTTAGGTAAATAGACAATATTGTCAATGATAGTAATAGGCTTCTACCTGCTCTCGTTCCCAAATTTACGGTGCTTGTCAACAATTAGTCAAAGATACAATAGAGTCAATATCACAGGAAATCAGCAACCTGAGCTCAATTAATACATAGGTCCAAATTTTTGTTCTTTGTGGCCACAGGAACGCTATTGCTCAGTGCTAATGAGTCAGTGCTAGAGTCAGTCACAGATAAAACATTATAACTCCACTCACCTTTGAAAAGTTTATTTATCAGTAAGCAAGACGCACTCGAGAGTTGACTGATTCTGTTGCTTTTCAGGCTTGGGACTGGGTGTCAGTGAGTTCTGCTGCCTTCATATCTTGGCGAATTCAGACACTAGTTTGGCTTACAGTAGTTTACCAACATCCAGTGTTTATGGAGCTTTCTTTGTACAGCCAAACGTGGTTTTGTCTTTACAAAACATGTTTTGTCTTACAAAACATGTTTGGTCTTTGACAAAACATATAATTTTTGTACAGACAATATCGTTTAATCATTTACAAAAGATGTTTTGTACAGACAAACATATTTTTTTTTCTTTACAAAACATGTTTTGTATAGGCAAACATCGTTTTATCATTTACAAAACATGTTTTGTACAGGCAAACATGTTTTTGTCTATACAAATCATGTTTTGTAAAGACAGAATAACTTTCTCCTATTACAAAAAAAGATTTTGTCCCTTACAACCATGGTTTTGTATGACTGAAAATGTAGTGTATCGTTTGGCGCTCCGAAGGCATAAAATTCCCCAAATGTGTAAATATCCTGGATGGAGGCATAAAAATATTTTTTCTTTTGTTTACAGTGTATATAGGCTTCCCTTTTGCTTTTAATATTCGAGTTTTGTTATTTTAATAAACGTTGTTGATTGTTTTACAGTTGTCCAGTGGACGACACCGTCCAGTTCACTTCATCGGGTTTCCTTGATCAAAAGCGGTTTTCTATCGAGACATTTGCGATGATCAATTATGGTATAGATGATACAGTAAGTAGACTGCTTAATATTAAGCCTATTATTGGTGGGCATGATTTCGTTACATCATTGGCATTACTGAGAAATTCAGATCATAATTTGAACAATAACCTACAATAGTAAACAACAATTTTTTAGCGTTAATGTTAAACATTTTATTTCTAACTTGTGTTTTGTATGCCTTGTTTTAAGTTTGTTTCGTAAAAACTGGTAGGTTGGATGGACTTGTGTGTGTGCCACCGTTCTTAAATTGTTATTTCCTAATAAAAATGATTGATTGATTGATTGATTGATTGATTGATTGATTGATTGACTTAAAGAGTGTAAAACTGCACAAATAAATGACAACATACACAAATCGTCATGAGCACCACCCGCGTGGTGGACACCAGCGCTATACAAATTGTCATTTATTATTATTATTATTATTATTATTATTATTATTATTATTATTATTATTATTATTATTATTATTATATTACTAATAATAATATTTATGTATTATATATTTACAGAACACTGTGTTCTACTAACTGTTGCGTACTTTACTTTTATAGGTGTGGGTAATGTGTTCATTCCTAACATGTGATAAATCGGACACCCAGTCGGCATGTAAAGATATGAACTCACCGATTTGTGGCTCGCCTACTGTTGGTAAACGGAGGAAAAGAAGTGCTGCAGATGTTGTTACCCAGGCCTTCATGGAATTACAACTTGACATGGAGTAAATTGGCTGAAATTTCAATAAAACTGTACCCTTTAGGACGATTCACTCAATCAATTAATTGGGTATTTCGGGTAATTGGTTATTATAGTGGTGTATTCTCACTATGCCAAAAACACGTTAAAATGACGTATGACTTGCGCTAAACAATATAAATATAAAATAAAAATAATCACTCTCTAGTAAAAATCGCATTATGGAAATTAGCTAACTTAGATTCTTGCAAATCCATTGAATGTATTATGTATAATCATGATTATCTATCAAAATATGTGTGACAATTAGATTTTAAGAAAGACGTTCACTCTTTGAACCATTTTAGTTATAAGCAAGGAGTTCGAAGCATACACGTACAATTAGGCCTATATGTAGAGGAAATAAATTGTATTGCAAGTATGTTTTGCTTATGTTTTATATTTGGATCAAAGTTCAATAATTATTGTTGCACATCCACGTACATTATTAAAAATTTTCAATTAACAATTTTCATGTATAGCCTATAGCGCAATGCATACTGCATCTATACGTACCAACATTAAATGCGGTAAATAGATATTAACATTACTACGTAGTCTGTAAATTTGGTTCTCAAACTAGAAGGCAACGCTACGATGGAACGCAACTAATAAATGGTCGTCCAACTATGTTGTCATCCCCTGTTAAACATGGTCAGCAAATGGCCGATCCAGGAATTCGAAATAAAGAGGCCCAGAGAAGGACTTTTTTTTTTACAGATGGAGGGTGTAGACCACCTCAGTACCACCATCCATGGTTGGGGCTGAGGTTTGAAATTTTATGGCTATAACATCCGTTAGATGGTAGGCCAAATGGTAATGGTCTTCCATTTCTATAGCGCATACTACAGTGCAGTGCCCAGTGTAAAACAAAGAAAAAGACAAAAAAAAATTAAAAAAAAAAGACACATAAAGCATATATAAGAAAGATTATATTTGTGAAAAGACAAGATTTAGGTTGGGTATAGGACTAAAGATTGAAATGCCCAATAAAATTGAACAAGACGTTCCACGGTTCTGTTTTTCTCCAATCTTTTTATAGTTTCAAAAAATACAGGTGGGTGAAGTGTTGGGAAAGGCGTAATCAACCTGTAAGCCTGCATCGGTTGTGAAGTCGTCGTGGAAAACGTAAACGCTCGCAGAATATCCAAACCCAGGCATAGGTCAAGGTATAGCGTTGACAGTCTATGGCACGAAATGATAAAATAGAAGAAGCATTTTACCGTGCCAATTTCTGGAAATTTAGTAAAAACCTTCTCACCAATTCGCTTTTACACTGGCCGAAGGGCCCTTCGTTTTCTAAAGAAATCACAAATAACTATTACTCAACTAAATATGGAAACCCAAAACCTATAGGCACTTCTGCACTGTCCTGGACCTCGCACAAGCAAATATTCCATTTAATACAAGCAGTATCCGCACAAAGGACATCCGCGACGCATTAAAGTGCAAAAGTAAAAACTCGGCTCCAGGCCCTGACGGTATTTGCTAAGGTTTACTGCAAAAACTTTCATGTACTCACCATTTTATAGCCACGCTGTATAATAAAATACTGGAAACGAATTAGTAATTTGTTATTACGGATTACTGAACATATACTTTATTGGCACTAATGGGCTTTCGTACTCTGGTACCCTTGTTTAAAACTTAAAAGCAAAGTTGACATTTTTCTTTTGGCTGTGCTGCGTCTTTAATTTTCACAGTTGTCAGTATCCCCTGTATTTCAATTATTTTCACATTGTTATATTCACCGGCTATGATATTTTCCCGTTGAGAGAAAGTCTCCTTGTTCGATGTGTTTTGATAGGCCTATGTGTGTATGTAAATGATAGGTCTCCTTTGTGTATTTGTATGCAAGTGGGAGGTTATGTATGGTTTCTATGTGACGTCCATCTATCAAACTATTAACAACTTCTATATTCTCGATCTTCAGATGTAGTATGGTCGTAGATATGGCAAACTTTTGTGTACGTTGCTTGGCGGACATGCCGCCCTCTAAAATGATGATTCGAATAAAACAAATTTATATTTGGCCAATTAGCAGACCCACCGCCATGAAAAATGGAAATTTCAGAAGAAAAAAATTTTGCTTTATTTTTATTTTTTGGGCTTACCATGTTGTTTAATACGGCAAATAATAAATTTAAGGAGTTAAAAATGTTGTATATCGCAGGGAAATATGCAAAGGAGCAGAAATTAGCTTTAATTAGCAAAAATCTAATGATGGTCACCGAATGGGTATTTTATAAACCGAGAGAAAAAATGGAAAACAGACAGGAAAATTCATAACTGTTGGTGAGGAGACACAATCTTATAAATATTTGCACTATATTTGACGTTTACATTTCTTCTTAAAAAAAAAAAAAAAAACAAAGAACAAAAAAACAAGTCATTCAAATCTAAAAGAACAATTGGATTTCACACTCTGGAAACAAATATATGATCATAATATGCTAAGGTCTGCTAAGAGAAGCTTATCCGACTTTAAATGACGTTCCGCCCTTTTTCTGGAGGATCCCCCCGCCCGCCCGTTCATTTTATTTTATCTAGTGATGCTAAATCAATAGAGAAACGTTGGTCCCTGAAAAAGGTCACGTGGGCCCTGATTTTCACTACAAAATAAGAAAGAAAGGGGGAAGGAAAAATATAAAAGCAAAAGAAATAAAACCCATACAGGTATTTGCAGCCTAGGCCCTACTAGACAAGGGCTACTTAGTTTAGAGCAGGGTCCTATGCCTACTACTCAGGCCCGGGGGCCAGATTTATCAAACTAGAAATCAGCTTAAATTCGTCTTAAGTCCATATTTCTGCTTAAGTCAAATTTATCCATATTAGTCTAGGACCTGACTAAGATTAGTATGCACTTCATTTAGGAGAGAATTTCTCGACTGTTGTAGAC